TGAATAGTCCTGAATTCTACCACAAATCAATCAGTTCTTCTAGCCTAAGAAGCTCTGACTCTATTTTAGCTCAATGAAAACAAAATCAATGAAGGCCAATTATAGCTCATCTCGTTAGAGTATGCAAATGGTATGCCATACAAATGTGCAGGAGAGGCTGGAGGAACAGACTGTGGGCTGCTACTGGCCCCTAGCTGCCCAGGACTCACAGAACAGCCGTACCTAGAACCTTCCAGCGAAGGCCAAAGTAGCCTGCCTGCCCGCCTTTCTTCCCACCTTCCTCCCTTCCCTGACTATGTCTTTGGAAGCTCCCATGCAGAAAGCTCCAAACTGGATGATGGAGGCTCTGGTGCAGGTCGGAGAGCAGATATCTGATATTCTGGGCTATTGATCTTTAGTCTAGCATAATATCTCAAAGCTCTTTTTTCTTATCATTCATAAGCCTACAGCCTGATTATGTGGTGCCTGGAAATTTCTAAACAAGGATAATGTATATGTCACAAAAGGCCAAGCAGGCCTCAGGGACAGACACAGGGTTGATATGCAATGAACACTAAAGAAATACAAAGTAAGACTAAGAGACCCACATCCCAGGGATTCCCTGGCATCTGCTGTAGCCTGCTCACGGATTTGAAATTCTTACCAACCGGACCTCTCTAAGGGTTATGGATTGAGACACTACATCTGTAGAGGGTCCCTACTGAAATGCAAAGCAACAGATGAGAAGAATGGGCCCCTCAACAATTAGTTCCCAAACATCAGGTATTTACACCCCACATCTCCCCCACCACACCCCACTGGAGTACTGCCCTGTAGTATCAATTATTCACTTGTATCTCTGAGTCTGAAGTACTCTGAAGTTGACCTCTCTCAATTTCCCCAGGAATGTCAGCTGCAGTTGGGACACACACACACCCAAGCACACTGCTGTGCCTAGTTCATGGGTGTCCTAGGAGTGCATAATTTGTGCAATGTATCATGATTTCAGAGAATATTAATACCAGGGAGATGTGAACCTTTAGATTCTGGAAAACAAAGTAATATTTTTCCCTATAAATCAGCTCACATATTTTACTTAATAAATTTCTTTTTTAAAGAAAATGTAAACACTGCCCTGGAAACCAGTATCTTTGGCATAAACAACAAAGATGTATAAATAATTGCAAGTAGAATAAAGGAATAAATTTAAATTCTAGCTAATATAATTAATCATGGTATATATTTTTATTTATGCCCCCCTCTTGTGTGTATATTATACTTATATCAAAAAAAAGCCCAAGAAATGATTTTAGTTCCAAGGGCTTTGAACCCAAAGCCTATACTTGCTTTAAAATGGAAAAATAGCCAGATATGGTAGTTTCTACCTGTAATCCCACATCTCAGGAGGCTAAGACGGAATAATCTTGAGCTTGAATGCAACCTAAGCTAGCTTGTAAGACCCTTCCTCAAAAAAAGAAAGAAGAAGAAAAAGGAAAGAAAATAAGAAAAAAAAGTTGAGGCTGGAGAAATGGCTCAGTAGTTAGGAGCACTTACTGATATCCAGAGGACCCGGGTTCAGTTCCCGAGACCCCACCAAGTGGCTCACAAGACTATATATAACTCCATCTACCTCCTGGGGCTTAATACCCTCTTCTGCAGTCTGAGGGCCTGCACACATGTGACATACGTTCCTACAGACATACAAACATACACATAAATAAAAACTATAAAAATAAAATGTTTAAACGCCAATAAATAATGAGAATTAGTAGTTTCAGAGAATTAGAAGAACTCTAGCAAGAAAGGAAAAGGAAAGGAGCTCTCTCCAGCAGCAAACCTGGAGGATTTGGGGGGCAATTCAGCAGGAACTCATTCATCAGGAAATCATTTTCGCTCTGTGTATCCATGTTTACTAGCGCCCAGTCATATATCCTGGGCCAGCATTCCACGGTGTCACTCTGTAAGCACCATTAACCTTTTTAGAATAGGTTTGTAGGAAGTCAGACTGTCCTTTTGGAAAACCACATAAAGGATAGTAGGTAATGAGACAGGAAAGGTGGGCTTTGGTGGCTGTGTTGGGAAGAAGCCTAAAGGGCCAGAAAGCCATTGGGGGGACGTCAGCATGAGCTAAGAGGGTCCTAGACTTCAAGAGGCAACACAAACTCCCCCAAACCTGGACAAGAGGTGTCCTGGGATGCTCCTGTAGGAACAGGAGCTTATCAGATTTTGGGAAGAATTAGAAATGAGCCTTATGGATCTATCAGTTTGGGTATCAAACTAAAAGTATCAATGAAAGGAATACCAGTCTCTTGCTGATTTGTGGGATTGTTGCTTTTTTTCATTTTTTTAAAATGAGTGTTTTGCTAATTCCTGAGTCTGACCCAGGAAAGGCTTTGCCACTGTCAAGGGTCTGAGGCCTTGGGGTCCTTGACATGGCACTGCCCACATCACCAGCACATGTTTACTCAGGACTTCATTCCTTACACATTCACTTAGGGCTTCCTCCACTCCCCACAGGATCTCACGACACTGCCCAGGCTGCTCTTGGAATTGTCCTGGAGTCCAGGTTGGCTTTGAACTTATAATTCTCTTGCCTCAGCTTCTCAAGTACCTGAAACAACAGGCCTGAGCTACAAAGCCTGGCTGGCCTTATTCTTTTATCTTTTAAGATGTGTGTGTGTGTGTGTGTGTGTGTGTGTGTGTGTGTGTGTGTGTGTGTCATGTGAGTGCAGGTGTCTGGAGGTCAGAAGCCAAAAGGAGGGTGTTGGGCCCCTGTAGAGCTAGAGTTAAAGGGGTTGTGATTAAAGGTTAAAGGTAAAGCCTCCTGATATGAGTGCTGGGAACTGAACTCAAGTCCTCTGGAAAAGCAGTAAATGCTCAAATCCTGAGCCATCTCTCCATGGCCTCTAATTCTCTTTCCTTTTACGGGGTGAGGTGATTGCCATATTTGTTGGTTTCGTTTTGTTTGTTTTTCAAGAGAGGTTTTCTCTGTGTAGCCCTGGCTGTCTTGGAACTCATTCTGTAGACCAGGCTGGCCTTGAAATCAAAGATCCTCCTGCCCCTTCCTCCTGAGTTCTGGGCTTAAAGGCGTGTGCTGCCACTCCCGGCTCGCCTGTGATTTTCTTACTATCAGTATATACAAACTCCATCGTGCTCCTCTCTGGGAAACAGGAAGGACAACTAGCCAGAACAGTCTTCACAATAACCTTTCTTAGACATCTCTCTTGTGATATCTCTTTCTTAAAACAAAACAACCCACAACCCACTTCTTTTAGCTGACATTACGGCTACACAGACAGAATTGAAGAAGCGAAGGCAGGCCAGGGGCAGCTTGCTCTACAAGCTGGTATTCCTGATCAAAATAGCAAAAGGATAGGAAAACGCAGAGTTCAGCCGGTTGTCCTGGGACTTTCTGGGTGTTGTTGTGCCATTCGTCACTTTCTGGTCATTTGCGTCTCCTTAGTGCTCCCTTCTATCACACAGCAAACAAAATCCGTAAGTACACTCTAACTACCAGCTGATCCCCACCGAGTGCCAGAGCGTGAGTCCTTGCCCTTTTCCTGCTGTACTCCTGTTAACACATCCCTCACTCATGTTCCCCTTTATAATAATAGCATTACATTTTGCTGACTCATATTCAGTCTGTGGTCCACCACGTTTCAGCCAATTCTTTCAGTACCGTGGATGTGAACCATCGGGGCCGCACACTTAGATACAGACTCTGATTTAAATCACCTGCCTCCTGCCTGCCTTTCACCTTTTCATTCTCCTCAGGTCTGCTTTACCTGTTCCCACAGCCCCGCTCCGCTCGCCCAATCATGCAGAAAGGTTTTTCAAAAGGCACTGAGTGCCCTGTGACCTTCTGATGTCATCTGTGAGCCTCCTCCTTTCCTATCTAATTAAAGGACAACACTCCAGTCTTCTTACACTCCTGGTGGAGAAGAAATGTTCTATTTCGCCTTTGGAAGTTGCGTGTCATTTCCTGCTTTAGTAATTCCAACCTTTCTTCCCTGAACTTTCCACAGATATTTGTCCTTGAAGTGCCCGCTCCCCCGGGCTCTTTCCTATGTCAGATGCAGTGCCATTCTTTCGGTAAACAAACTCGATTTTTTTTTTTTTTTTTTTTTTTTTTTTGCCTACCTCCCCAAATTCTGTAGATGTGTATGTGAGTCTGTTCCTCCCTTGGCCCTTGACAAAGTTCTGCTGATGCCCTTTGAGAACGCTCATGATTCGGTCACTAGGTGACAAGGAACACAGAAAGAGCCTAGAGATCATGGTAGAAAGCCCATCGTTGCAACGCTAAGCATGAACCCTACAGTGAGCTCTGGTCTGGAGTGCTGACATGTCAAGGGACGGTTATGATCCTAACAAAGGTACCATTTGGGGGTAACTGCTGTCAGGGTTGGTTAGGCATTCAGGTGCAGGGAGTGTATAAGAGATCCCAGGCCCATGGTGCAGCTCAGTGGGAGAGAGCATTCCCTTCCCACATAAGCCCTTGTTTGACATTGCTGGGGTGGGGCGTTTCTTTCAATTTTCCTAAGGATTTGTGAGAAAACAGGCCCAGCTTTTCAAAGTCTCTTTTAAAAAGTCCAAGTCTCACCAGGCATGGTAGCACAAGCCTTTAATCCCAGCACTTGGGGGCAGAGGTGGGCAGAGCTCTGTGAGATTGAAGCCAGCTTGGTCTACCTAGTGAGTTCCAGGACAGCCAGAACTACATAGTGAGACCATGTCTCAAAAAAGAAGGAAGGAAGGAAGGAAGGAAGGAAGGAAGGAAGGAAGGAAGGAAGGAAGGAAGGAAAAAAAGAAAGAAATCCAAAGTCTCTCAACTGTGGGCTCCTATAAAATAGTAAATAAATAAATGAGTGAATAAATAAGTAAGTAAATAAGAAAGAAAAGAAAAAAAGTTTAATACTTTCTTACTTCAAGAGGGAAGAACCAGGACACAGTCACAATTTGAACAAAGCAAAATCAAACCACAACAGCACAAATAATTCAATGCCCAGTGTCTGGGATTCACTCACGATCTGCTGGGCTCCTCCACGGGGCCTGGGTCACTTCTCAGGCTCCACCCTCAGCAGCACACACAGCTTGTCTTATAGACTCAGACCAGCTCCACTCTACTGCTGCTGCTGTTCTCAGAAGTCACCTCATAGTACTGCCATCTCCAAAATGCTGGCGTCTCTTCCTCCACCTGGGCTGCACTTCCACCAATAGCCTCTTTGGGGCTCTCTTTATGATGCAAAGCCTCAACTTTGCTCTATAGCCTCTTCAGTCTCGGGGGTTTCCACTGCTACTCCAGCCGTGTTGCTTGAGTTTTCCTGCCTGGCCCACAGTCAGGGCAAATCTCTCTCACCTGCCAGTCCCACAGCCGTCAGACCCGACCAAGTAAACACAGAGACTTGTATTGGTTTCAAACTGTATGGCCATGGCAGGCTTCTTGCTAACTGTTCTTTCAGCTTAAATTAATCCATTTTTATAAATCTATACCTTGCCACGTGGCTCGTGGCTTACCGGCATCTTCACATGCTGTTTCTCATCTTGGCGGCTGGCAGTGTCTCTCTGACTCAGCCTTCCACTTCCCAGCTTTATTCTCCTCCTTGTCCCGCCTACACTTCCTGCCTAGCCAATGGCCAATCAGTGTTTTAATTATTGACTAATCAGCAACACATTTGACATACAGAACATCCCACAGCACAGCCGCACCATTTCCAATGGTCTTGGTACATTGGCGTCTCACAGCCAAGCCTCAGCTGCTCTCCATGACCCCTTCATGCCTTCGAAACCACCTGAGAAACTCTTACACTTGACCAAGTATGGCTGCCAGCACAAGGTACAACCTGGGCCACCTCCAAACACAGATTCTCTGTGTTCTCAGGAAACATTTCCCAGATTTCACTTCAGTGATACTGGTCTCTTCTTAACCACAGCTGATTCTTCAGCCCCAGCTGACCAGCATCCATTTTTTCAGCAAAACAAGGTTTTACTTTAGAGATCCTGGTCTCTTTTTAACCACAGCTGAGATTCTTCAGCCCCAGCTGACCAGATACCACAGATTCTTTACACAGATGGCCCAGTGAAGTGCCCAGTAGAGTCTTTGCTTGCCTCTGAAATGTCACAAGCCAGGCCTCCACTGTCTGCACTGCTCTCAACATTCTAATCTTCTAAGCTCCTACAGAACAGTCTACTGCGCTCTCAATACTCAACGGTTCTTCTAGTCCAAAGTTCCAAAGTCCTTAAATAACTCTCCCCAAAGCAACATAATCAGACTTCTATCCAAGTCTCACCATGCTTCTGCTTCCAGAGATTTCACTGCTCAACCCAGAATGACTTCCAATGGCATTCCACTCAAGTTAAGTTCCTGGGAAGAATGCTGGTCTTCATAAAAGTCCAAATAATTCCAATCCTATAATAGAAATTCATCATGGGCATTTTTGTTGTTCTGATGGGTGAGTATATTAGTAAGGGTTCTCTAGAGGAATAGAACTTACAGAATGAATATATATATATACATATATATGGGGTTTATTAGAGTAGCTTACAGGCTGTGGTCCAGCTAATCCAATAATTGTTGTTTACCAATGGAAGATCCAAGAATCCAGTAGTTGTTCAGTCCACGAGGCTGGATGTCTCAGCTGGTCTTCAGTGTATGCCAGAATCCCAAAGAAGTAGGCTCTAATGCCAGTGAAGGAATAGACTTGCCCGAGAGAGCAAGCAGGAAAAGAGAGCAAGCTTCTTTCTCCCACATCCTTTATGTAGGCTGTCAGTGGAAGGTGTGACCCAGATTAAAGGTGGATCTTGCCACCTCAAAAGATCTGTATTAAAACTGAGTCTCCCCACTTCAAATAATTTAACTAAGAAAAAAATCCCTCACAGGTGTGCCCAGCTGCTCTGGCACAGATATAGTCAAGTTAAATACCAAGAATAGCCACCACCACAGGGGCATTGCTTGTGTGTGTGTTTGCTTTAGACAGATATCACTATGTAGCCCAGACTGACCTCAAACACATGGAAATCCTCCTGTTTCTGCCTCCCACGTGCTGGGATGACAGGCCTGAGCCCCCATGCCCAGACTTCCTGCTGCTCTTTCTATGAATACAAATAAAAAAAAAAAAAAAAAGAGAGAGTACACACCCTGCTTTCCTCAACTAAACTTCCATGGCAACAAAAGGCCATAGATCCCCTCAGCTTCTGCTCCAACCTGTCTGCCCAGCCGTCTTGCACTGCTGAAGTTGGGCCAATAAAAGCCACATATCTCAGACTCCTTTGCAAACATGTTCGGTGAGACTCAAATTCCAGCCTGTGTTGTGTGGAAGGGAGACACATCCAGCAGGTGCAGATTCAGGGAGCAGATCACAGCCCAAGCTAGTGAGGCTGAAGCCAGAATCCAGACTCCAGATCTTAGCCCCAGATGGATGTCTCTGGGGTTTGCATTAAAGGCAATGGCTTCCTGACCTCAGACTCACAGCTAAAGTAGCATGACCCTGTGACTAACAATAGGTCCTGGGGCCTGCTGGTTCTCCAAGGGCCTGCCTATGCCAAGTCACCTTGGGCTGTCTTTTGGGAAGCCACTATACCTCAGCTCTGATCCACATACACTCCCTCTGCTGCCTTTCTCTTTGTCAAAGGACTGAAGTGATTTTCGTTACATGCAACTGAACGCTGAGAACTCAACCCAGGAGTTAACTGCCAAAACTGAGTGCCCTCTGCCTTGCCACAGACAGAGTCCTATCTAAACAAGACATGTATTTCAAGGATTCTTATTTTATGCTACTTTAATGACTCCTTAAAAAGAACATAAAATTCCTTTTATGTCTCTTTGTCCTCTCTCCCCCATTTTTAGTCAGCCTCCATTTCCTGGGTCATGGTAAGCTCCTTGAAGTAGACGTGTTAATGCAAGGGCAATAAAAAACAAGACGTGCCTTGAAAATATTGGAAGAGGTCTGAGTGAGGCTGGGTGGAAGCAGGAAATTCCATTATTTTACTTTGGTACAAAGTATTTTGTTTAAAGATCTCTGCCTACTCCCAGATGGTGCCAAACATCAGAATCTATCAGTCCAGCCTTCATGAAGACAGACCACGAGGTGTTGGAGACGGGCCTTCCAAAGTTGCCTGAAAGAATGCAATACCTAGTCCCCTCTTTTTGGTTTTGATTTGCCATTTTTCTTATAGATAGACCAAGCTGAACTCAGATTCATAATCCTCCAGGCCCAGCTTCACAGATTGGGATTACAAGTGCATGCCACCATTCCCCGATCCTTTCTCTGCAGTTAAGCCAACTATCATCTTCCAGCATGTAGGGCAAAGTGGTTAATAATAGCAATGATAATGCCCCTCTTGGTTGAGAGCAATACCATACAATAGTTCGGTGGTTGTTTCCAAACCTCACATCGCCCTGATACATCTTTTCTGAGAGAAGCATGGCATAAAACCTAAAAAGGAAACAACATAATTAAAAAAAAAAAAAAGAGATGCAGAGTAATTATTTTATCTCCAGAATTGCTCATCCTTCCAGCCCTTATTTGGTTCTTAACACAAAGAAACCACACCCCTCAAGGGACTACACCTCGGGGGAGATCAGAGACTTGTTTGTGTATGGATCGGACACAGTTCTACAGAAGATGGCCCACCATGCCGTGACCCACACTATTATTCCAAGAACCCTGTCTGAACAGCTCTCAAGATGCCAGAGCCTACCTCTTTTAAAGTATGCCTCGCCTTGTTCTGGTCTCCCTGTTGCCTGGATCTGCAGTTCACCACTGCTAATTGTTAGCCATGCATCCTCACCCCAGCTGTTTCCACTCACTGTGCCTTGGTTTGCTCATCTTTTTTACTTTTTTTTTTCTGGTTTTTCCAGACAGGGTTTCTCTGTGTAGCTTTGTGCCTTTACTGGAACTCACTCTGTAGCCCAGGCTGGCCTCAAACTCACAGAGATCCACTGCCTCTGCTTGCCGTGTGCTGGGATTAAAGGTGTGTGCCACCACCGCCTAGCGGTTTGCTCATCTTTCAAAGGAGCTGAAATGATCTCAGGGTCGAAGAGGAGACCATAGAGAAAGGCTGTGGATAGCTGCTGGCCTGCAGTTAGCACTCAGTGTGTGTTATTTGGGTTGTGGTTGTCACATTATGACTCTAGTATCACATCACATGTAAAGCATACAGGGCACTAGAGAGATGGCTCAGCTCTTCACAGTGCTTCCTGCTCTTGCAGAGCATGGGAGTTCAGATCCCAGCACCCACATAGGGCAGTTCACACCTGCTGGTAACTCTGACTCCGAGGGATCTGATGCCTTCTTCTGCCTTCCACGGGCAATGCACACATGTGGCATCCATTCACTCAGACAGGCACATGCACGTAAATAAAAATAAAAGTAACAAATCTTGGAGGGAAAAATACACAAGTTACTATTTCCAAGAGTAGGAAGAGACTCTTTTTTTTTTTTTTTTTTTTTTTTTTTTTTTTTTTTTTTTTTTGGTTTTTCGAGACAGGGTTTCTCTGTGTAGTGTTGTGCCTTTCCTGGAACTCACTCTGTAGTCCAGGCTGGCCTCGAACTCACAGAGATCCGCCTGGCTCTGCCTCCCGAGTGCTGGGATTAAAGGCGTGCGCCACCACCGCCCGGCCTGGGAAGAGACTCTTAAGATATACCCTTCCCATCCTGAAAACAGATTGTCGCCAGGGTGGTGACATATGCCTGTCATCTCAGCTACTTTGGAGGCAGAAGCATGAGGATCACAAGTTGGTTCTACTCACCAACCTAGCTAGACCAGACCTCAAAATTCTACAAACCAAAGGTCTGGGAGCTGCTCAGTAGTGAAGCATTTAACGTGGACCAGCTTGGGTTCAAGTATCAGTACCTCGCCAGAAATGTAGCTCATTCATTGTGGTCTGGCTTGGTGTCAGCTTTAAACCCACCCCTGACTCCCCAAACCTGGGGACAGCAGAGTTTGCTTTGATAGTCTACACTGACTTCTAGCTCCCCCAAGTCAGAAGGTTCGATGCATTCCACTGGTCTCCCAAAAAATAAGTCCCTTTGTAACAAACTGTGCCGCACCACCCACATCCCAAGTTCAGGACCAGAGGATTCATTCCTGCAGCCTGAGGATGCCACTCACCCACAAGCCTTGGCTCGAGCCCCTTGGAACCGCCTCCTATACCTCACAACATCCGCATGACCAAAGCTTTGCCCTCTTCTCACATAGCCTGGGATTTTATTGAGTACTTAGTGTAAGAGTGTAAGGTCTAGCCTTAGATCTCCAACTGGAGACAACACCACAGGGGCATCCTGGCTGCAAAGT